TAAATTGCTTATAAAGAAAAAACATGTAACTCAGATTCTAATGGATCATAATATGAATTTCAAATAGGACCTCAGCACCATATTAACTCATACTCTAATGTGTTGGAAACATAGTACAATGCCTTTTGGTCTGTACTCTGTGTAAAGCAGCTCCATCTTGTCAACTTCCAAAATTATAGAGAAAGTCAACTAGGGGTTCTAGTGCAAGGCTTAAGGTTGTGTGACACGATTTCTTAAGTCTACTTTAGCATGCATATGGTCGCATTACTTGATAAAAACACAATGTATAAAGAGATTATTCAGAAATAGAAGATCCTTATCGCACCTACTTCAACGTCTCTCTATTGGAAATCACTTCTTCAGCAAAGACACTTGTGCAAGCAAGCTTCCAACATCTATTTTATTCCCTCTATATAAGGAGATGAAGATTCAAAAGGAACGACATCAAATAACACCAATATACAACAAGAATTGTTCCACTCTCTAAGCTTGTGTACATAGTTGTTGTATTGCACATAAACTTGAGTTTTTCTTACACTTGTATATCTTACAAATCTCAAGTAACAAGGTCTTTGCGTGTGGTGTATTATTTGTACCTCTAATTGTATATCAAGTACATCTTATTGTAATCCTAAACCGTTTGTTTAGAATTGTAAAAGTCTCAAATAGTGTGTTTGAGAAAGGAAGTCTCTTTCAGATTGATTGAGCAAGGAAGTCTTGAATGCATGTGTTTAGGCAAGTAAATCTCTTTTAGTTTGATAGTCCTGAATGAGTGTGTTTAGGCAAGGAAGTGTCTTTTTAGTTTGATTGAGCAAGGAAGTCCTAAATTGTGAATTTAGGCAAGGAAGTCTCTTGTGAAGGGTAAGAAAAACACAAGAAAGAGGAGGGGTTGAATTGGGTTTTCTAACTATCTTTCCTTAATGAAATTATTTCACAAACTAACTAGAAAGAATAAGACTAAGGAAATAATAAAATGACTCGTTTGGTTTATACAAGTTCACCTTCAACAAGGCTACTCTTGCCCACCCACCAAGGTGATTTTTCCTTCAACAAGGACTTAATCCACTAATCTCAACATATTACAAATTCATGGGTTACCTACCGGTGACTAGCACCAACCGTCTAAGAGTCTCAACAGACATATTATTCCTCTCAAGTCTACAAACTAAACAACCTAGTCACTTGAGGAAACAATCAATTCTCGATAGAATTACAATCAACTGTATTTACAATGCACTACAAGAAAATTAGTGTTTAACGACACAAAAATTGCGACAGTAATGTGATAACTGTCGTAATTGACATATAGAGACAGTGTTTACGATAGTTGACACCAACCGTCCCTAATATTTATTTTGCGACGGTATATTTAACCATCATAATATTATTATTACGACGGTAAAACAACCGTCGGCCCCCATTTAACACTTTTAACATTGATTTTTCACCAACAACTAGTCACGACGGTAAAATTAACCGTCCTAAAAGGCATATCACGACGGTAAAGCACTCGTCGCACCCTTAAACCTTTCACGACGGTAAAATTATCCGTCCTAAAATTCATTTCACGACGGTAAAACAACCGTCGCACCCAAAACCTTTAAAAATTCTTTTTATGATTTTTTAGGTTTTCTAATTTGTTGTTTTAGGGTTTGATTTGATTATTAGATTAAATATGTCGCTGGACCGATTAGAATCGATGAATCCAACAGGTATGAATCCAAAATCAGGCGCTAAGCCCAACACATAGAGTCCATGGCCATATTTTGAACTAAGGCAATTGGACCAACAAAAAAATGGTAGCATCGGCTTAGAAGAGGGAATGAGCAGCGATCCATGTCCAATAGCCCATGGAATTTAGGTTAAGTCCAACAATATCACAATCAGATTCAGCTTTTGTTTCACATTTATTCAGATTTGTCACATTACTTGTTAGTTTTTTTATTAACATTGAATTAAAACAAAATGAAAAGAAATATAAGAAAACAGGGAGCACTTATCACATTACTTGTTAGTTTTTTTATTAACATTGAATTAAAACAAAATGAAAAGAAATATAAGAAAACAGGGAGCACAATCGTTTTGGATAATTTTGTATTAGGGTTAATCTTTTGTGTCCATTGGAATTTATGAGAACACATTCTTTCCCTTCCCTCTCTTCAGTAGCGCCACATACACCTCTATACAACCTTCCTCCCACTGCTTAACCTTCAATCTGTAGCCTAAAGCCACCACAGGTCTCACCTATTATCCGGTGAAGCATCGCTTGTCTCCACATCGTTCAACTATTTTCACCAAACGTCTTCCACATCTCACTCTCACCTCCTCTTTGTTCCGTTTGTTCGGTTAAGGTTTTTCTCTTATCCCTTAAATCTTTATTTTCCATTAATTTCAGCTGCAATTATGTTTTCTTATTTCTATTTCTTTTACCCTCTTTGTTTTACAATAATCAAGGTTCGATCAAAACAAGCTTTGGCCCTTTTTTAATTCTTTTTTATTCTTAGATTGATGGGATTGGTAGTGGCCTGATTATTGGAAGTTCTTCTAGTGTCTAGGAATAGTGGTTGGCCTACGTGTTGGGGAATAAAGAGGAATATGGTATTTAAGGCTAAGCTAATTATGGAGAAGAGTGAGTCTTGGAGGAATAATGCAGAAGGAAAAAGAGAATGAATTACTTGACAGTCGGTAATAAGCAAGTTCCTGGTTAAAGCAGAAGGAGGTGTGTATTCATGTTTAAGAAGGGAGATTAGGAGAGGTTTATTTATGTAAAAAGGGTATTATTAGAATTATATGGGAATGGAGGGCCTATGGGTGATTTCCATAAATTTCTTGTCATAAATCATTTAAACTTAATATTTACATATCTAAAAACTAGAAGAAAATCCTTATGAGGTAGAATCTGGAATGACTCATTTTCATTAGATTTTTATTTGAGTATGCAAGTGCAACTAACCTTTGATTTAATTGATTTGAATGCCAATAGAAACTAGACTCAATTACCTTCAAGTTAGAAACTAGTTTCATTGAAAACCATTGAGTCTTGATAGATATAAGAAATTATGCTGTCCCATTTTGAGGAAAATGTAAATATGTATTTATGTAGAAATGTGAGAATTAAGTATAGGGGTTGAACTCGTGAATTAATTCTCTATAAATGATTTAATTCATGAATTTTATTTTTCAATTTTTTAAAACATTATCATTTTCTCGAATTTCATAATATTTTAGTAACATTCTGTATATCATTCTTGAAATTTTTATGTTAGAGAGATACTTGGCTAAGCTAGTTGGAAGTACTCAACCGTTAGAAACTGGTCAACTAACATAATTAGTTGTTTATGGTAGAAGAGTTTGTTAGACAATTAGCTGTTAGTTTTCTAACAGAAGTCTTTAGTTTTCTCGCTAACATTATACTTGTTTTTAGTGCCTTTACCTACGCAATGTATATAAGCTAAGTTCCACAATTCTAACAATTCACCTTAGTGATAATATATTTGATATTCATTTTGATTTCCATTCACTATATTCAAAAGTAATCCAGTAGATTATCACTATATAGTCTATAGCTTATTGGTGCTGCTGCTGTATATAAGCAAAATCCAGTAGATTATTGGTGATAAGCATGGCAGCCCTTACCACATCTATAGCTGACAGAACTTCAATTTCTTTTAAAATCCTATAATTTGCTGCTGCTGAAACAAGATAAGAAAACAGACTCGAATCGATGCAAATTATATTGAAAACGAAAATCCTATAAGAAACCGAAAAGCATTAACGTACCGTATAGTGTAATAGGTAAACGTGTGAATGTTGAATATAATGATTAAAGTTGAATATAATGAATGTTGAATACATCTGCTGCCAACTACTAGGACATATTGATTTGTTTAGCTCTGATATTGCTGAGATTAGTTAGTTGTAAATTTATATATATATATATATATATATATATATATATATATATATATATATATATATATATATATATATATATATATATATATATATATATATATATATATATATATATATATATATATATATATATATATATATATATATATATATATATATATATATATCAATGCTGATTTTGGTTGCTGTAATGTATAGCTACTATGGCTTAAGGGGAGTTATAGTTATAGTTGTGTATGATATAGGGGTTTATATAGTGCTTGTGAGGTTTTACAGTATACCATGTGGGATGAGTTGTATAAAGAAGTAATGGACAAAATGTATAATAATTATAAATTATGAAATGGTACAATAGGAGAGATTGAGGAAATGAAGCAACATGTGAAAGAGTGAGTTTTAGCTGGAAGATGAAAACCTTGAAATATGTTTAGGTTTTTAGGATACTTCAACTCTAAAGAATCCTGATCCATATAAGTATTGTATGGTCTAATTTAATTACAAAATAATGAGAGGTTCAGAAAAACTGCAGAATGATTGGCTAACTAAAATCCATTTGAGTTTTAATCATGTTTACAATAAGTAGTTTTTTATTAAAAAAAACAATAAAAGGCTGTTTATGACTGTATATGCATGATATATAGGAGAAATATATATAATAGTATTAAGTATAAGCTTTATAGGGTTTAGTTAAAGTGAGAATTTGGCAGAACAGAGAGAAATATACCCATGGGAATAAAGAATGAAAAAGTGATGAACAATAGAAATAGAATATACATGTGGTCTTCTGAATGTAATGGCTGTCCTTCTGCAAAAAGCAAACTTATAGGGACAAAAATGTTACATAAACTCAAATAATATTCCCGACATTCTGAACCTTGAAAGCAATAATTCATTGTTTACAAACACAGAGAAAAAAGATTCCATGATAAGTGTATTTTCAATGTTTGGTCTTCATCATAATCATCATTCTAATTCTAATATACTTTTAATGTAAAACATTGGTTGCTGTTAATTTTTTAGCATATACTATTATGTATACAAGGACAAAGTAGTTTTGGAAAACAACGCATCAAACCTTTGGTTATATGACTTTATGTTTGACTCTGATGCAGGCTAAGGTCGTGGAGAGCGACAACATATGTCAAGAGAATAAAATGCTAAAGAAGAAGGTGGAGTCACAGCCTTTCAATACCAGGGACGTTGAGAGGATGAAAAGAGAGTTGCAGGCTGCTGAGAAGGATGCTGGAGAGGCTGAACTTGCTAGGAATGATTGGGAGGAAAAGTGTTGGGAGCTTGACCGTACTCTCCCAAATAACATCAGAGACTTAGAACCTATCACCAGGGATTGTAACCAAGCCCTTAAGAGGTTCTTTTCTTTTCCTCTTGTATTGTATTCTATTGCACCCCATTTGTTTTTTTAGCATAATTGTATCGACTATTTACATCTAAACTAGATAACTTCTGTGCTGATGTTAATAGGGATCAATTATTAAGCAAACTCTTACTTTCATGTGCTTCTAGGTTGAAGATTGGTAATGACATTCAATATGTCTTGAATCCCAAGGGAACCACGCCTGCTGAGATCATGGGTATTGATTACAAAGTCACGCTGAAGCCTGCACTTAACTCATTTGCAGATGACATCAAGACTACAATGGGATGAAAAAGGCAGCGTCACACAAAACTACAATTCCTTCGGCGTCGTCAATGACCCTAACTCCCTCACCGATTCTCTTCGAGCTCCTCCTTTTGTCTCCGATGTTTGTAATTTTGAAAAGTAATGCTTGTAATTTGCAGGCATATGCTGCTGCCGTACAGTGAATCAAAACTATGCAAATATTCTTTTGATGCTTTTACGTCTCCGTCAGGCTTGTGATCACCCACTTCTTGTTAAAGAATACAATTCTGATCCTGTTGGAAAAGATTCTGTTGAAATGGCAAAAAGGCTTCCAAAAGAGATGCTGATAAATCTGTTTAATAGTTTGGAAACAACTGCCGCTATATGTTTTGTCTGCAATGTAAGTTAATTCTGATTTGATAATTTCATTATTTGTTTCTTTGTTGCAATTATTCCTTCTAAGAGCGTCATCTGATATAGATCATTTTGCGGAATCGATAGATAATGTGGGACTGCATGATTTATTTCAAGAATATGGGAATATTTTGTCTAGCAAAATTGTCATCTCTGAAGATGGGAAGAGCAAAGGGTTTGGTTATATACAGTTTGGTTCAGAGGAGTCTGCAAATGATGCTATCCAGAAAATGAATGGCTCTACTGTGAGAGATAAGCAGATGTATGTGAAATTGTTTTAGAATTTGTTAAAATTTTCCTTCAGTTCCATATGTATGTTTTCTCTTTTGAATTTGTTAATTGCTCTTTTAGTTATCTTAAGATTGGTTTTGATAATCTGATTCCATTTCTTCTCACAGATATGTTGGGAAATTTATCAGAAAAAGTGAGCGCTCTTTGCCTGAACCTGATGCCAAATATACAAACTTGTACGTTAAGAATTTGGACCCAGATATTACCGAAGCACTTCTTAAAGAAAAGTTCTCATCTTTTGGAAAAATTCTTAGCTTGGCTATTGTAAAGGATGAGAAGGGGTTGTCAAAAGGTTTTGGATTTATGAACTATGAAAACCCGGATGATGCAAGACGAGCAACGGAAGCAATGAATGGATCACAATTTGGTAATTTACTTATCTTTTTAGTAAATAGGTCTTTTATGCTCAAAGTTGCACTTTTCTGGATGTTGATTCTCTGTGTATATATGGTTTTGATTTGTCATAACTAGGTTCAAAGAACCTGTATGTTGCAAGAGCACAAAAAAAGGTTGAACGTGAGAAGATCTTGCATCAGTGGTTTGCAGAAAGATGCATGGAGAAAAACTTGAAATACAAGGTAATTCCATACCCTTTTTCCTACAGTTGACTAATTAATTTCAGCTTTCTTAGTTTGCCACCATTTTAACTTTCAGGGATCAAACATTTATGTGAAGAACATTGATGATAGTGTTAGTGACGAAGAACTAAAGAGTCAGTTTAGTGCTTGTGGCACAATAACTTATGCAAAAGTTATGCGAGATGACAAAGGAAAAAGCAAAGGCTTTGGGTTTGTCTGTTTCTCTACCCTGGATGAGGCTGTTAAGGCTGTGAACAGTTTTCATGGTGAGTAAAGTTTCTTTGAATCTGTAAGCCACTAAGGTGATAGGATTTAATGTTTTGGTCAAGAATCATTTTTTGCATAGATATGTTTTCGTTGTACTATGAAGTTTGAAAAATGTGCTGATCACTATCATGTTTCAATAATACTGCATGTTATGTTATATTTATTGGATTATAACTTGAGAGATTAGATCTATATCACATGCTACTTTCTATGTTCTGAATTTTAATTAAGTTCTGATCTAAAAAATTTACATCACTGTTACTTACTTCCTTTTAAGAAATTTTCTAATCATATTAAAATATTTTTATTCAAGAATCAAATCCATTTAGAACAATATTCTCCAATACTTCTGTTATGTCATTCTTTTTTTTTTGGATACGCAAATGTTACTTATTGATTATTTAAATTGATGTTATATGCCACAGGACGCATGTTTCACGGAAAACCACTGTATGTTGCTTTTGCTCAGAGGAAAGATGTTAGGCAAAGCCTATTGCAGCTCCAGCATTCGCACTGGTGTTGTTTATCATCACCCTAAGGGTTCTACAACATTTTATCATCATTCATCGGGTTCTATTGTGAGTGACAAATTTGCATAATAACTAGATAAAAGGAGTTCATCATAGGAAATTGAACTCTTAATGCAAATGCAGAATTTTAGTGGAAGACAGGTATATTATTTTGACGCATTTAAAGTTAAATTTTATGAGTATTATTTTAAAGATTATTATTTTAATACCTTTTTTTAGGGATTGGAATCACCCGCTGATGGTAGACGTTCATCTGAGTCTAGCTACCGTATTGGAGATAATGGAACTTCAGGGGGGACAAATTAGACTTTGCTATGATCGAGATAATTAGATTGTGAACTTTCTCATGTATTTTTGGCATAATGATACTTATTATTATAAGATTAGGAATTGATATATTTTGGATTTTTTGTACTACTTGACATGATTATGGAACTCGCATTTTACATGATTATGGAACACACATTTTTTTGGATATTATAATGCTTATTTGATTTTAAATATTTTTTATTGAAATTATTTTTACTATATTTCAAAGTGATAGAAAATAAAACAAAAAATAATACTATAAATAAATATATTAAAGAAGAAATAATTTAAAGAAAAAAATAACACAAAAAAAAACTATATTTAAAATTTTTTACATAGATAATAATTTAAATAAAAAATATATATAATAGAAAAAAAAAAATCAAGACATAAACAAAAGTCATGGCGACAGTACCGAACCGTCGTAATCAACAATTAAAAATAATCAACAAAAGTCATGACGGTATCGAACCGTCGCCATAAACAATTTAATCAATTTCAAAAGATATTCATGACAGTATCGAACCGTCGCCATCAATAATTAAAAGAAACTCAAAAGATAGTCACGACGGTATCAACCCGTCGTAAACTTAAACGACAGTTTTTGTAACCGTCGCGAAATAGGTTGGGGACACACACTTCTGCGACGGTAAAGCAACCGTCGTGGAAAGCAAATTGCGACGGTTTTAACCGTCGTAATCTACAAAAATACCTGTCGCAATCTGCGAAGACACCACCAGCCCCATTTTTTTTCTTTTTATTTCATTTCTAACTTTTACAAAAAAACTGTTTTGGGCCCCAACGCCCCATTTTTCTTTTTAACCCCCTTTTTTCCTTTTGACACCCAGGCCCAATTATTTTTATTTCTTTTATATTTTATTTATTTTAATTTTTTTATTTATTTATTTTATCTAAACCAAAAATACCAAAATATATATTTTCTTAAATTAAATTAAAAATGTTTTAATTTAGGCATTTTATTTCAATTTTTTATATTAAATTGAATTTTATTTTCTTTTACAAATTAGTATTAATATTCAAATTATTTTCTAAACAAGATTATTAGACTTAGGTTTATTTTCTTCTTCATTTTAAATTAACTTAGACTTTGGGCTTTTGTTAAAATTAATCAACTTCTTTTGTAATAAAAATTAAGTAGTCTAATTAGGTTATCTTTAAACCTTTCCATCGAAAACCCTAAGAAACAATCTCTTTTTTCCTCTTTACATTTTGTACATTCTATTATTATTCATATTCATTGGTTTGTAATAGATAATTAGGCTTTATTGCTTTCTTCCCCCTATTCACAAATTGTACCCCCATTCCCAAAGCGTTGTAATAGCGTAGGACGTTTAAATTCCGCAATTTATCAGTTTCTTTATTATTAAGATAGTAATTAGAGTTTGCATGAAAAGACTAAAATCAAACCATAGAAAACCCTGATTCAGAATACAATATATTTGAAATCAAAACTCTTTGCACACTTGCACCTCTAGGGTAACTCACACTTGTTGTCTCAGATAAAAACAATCATGTACCTCGAACGTGAGATGTTTTAGCAAAGACCCTCGATTAAAAGATCGTAGTGCCTCGATGACCCTTCAAAGTTTCCTTCAATAAATGATCTTAGTCCCTTACGACAAATTGCTAAAACATCTTACAAGTTGCCTTTTATGACTGTACGATGACCCACGTCTGTCCCTCACATCCAATGATATGGCTCTCTACCAATCAATGGTGAAGTAGCACTATCTAAAGGAGGAGGAAAAGAACAAAGACTTTTTGAGTAGGTAGATTTCTCGTAATTGCTTGCTCACAAACAAAATAATATTTACACCTCACACTTCCAAAACAATTTTCAAAAACAAACATCTTTCCAAACACTCCCTTTTAACAAATATTTTCAAAACAAAACATTTTGTAATCATTCTCAACAATACGAGAATCATTGCAAAATTGCCGCACTAAGGCATTTTCAAAGTATTTTCCAAATAAAATTTTTATATACATTCTCAATGATACGAGAATCATTACAAAATTACCATTTTCAAAATACCTTCAAAGATTTTCAAACTTACATAAACACAAAGCATTTTCAAAGTGATCAAGCAATTAAGAGCCTGTAGATAACTAGAGATGAAAAGGGTGCTAACACCTTCCATTTTCATAACCTACCCCCCGAACACAAGAAAATATCTCAAAAGGTATTTCCTGTTCTTGTCACCCTTTCCTTTATTGGATAAAATAAAATTCAGCGATGACTCTTGATATTCGCAACATTTGCAATCAAACACAAAACACCCAAGTCAGTTCTCCCACCGTATCACACAATGGTTTAAGGAAATTCGAGAATGGAGACCTTAAGATAAGTACAACGAAAGGGTGACATGGTTATGTTGTTCCATGTCATGATTGGAACCCGGAGTTTTTTTTGAATTGATTACTTCTCCTGTAAGAGCGTACATGTGTCCAGATTATAATATTAAGAACAAAACCTTCATGGATGTTGCTCGCATTCTTTTAAGAAAAAAATATCTAATGGTTTTAAATGAAACGTTCAATATGCAAATCAGTCGAGATGTATTTAGATTGAAAGTGGTAGAAGATTTCCATGGACCTCTACGAGTTAGTGTATCCAAAAAAGAGGAGAAGACTTGGGAGTCATCAAAGTCAGACGCTTTTTCCGGTGAGTAGAGTAGAGAAGATGAAGGCACAAAAATTGATAAAGAAGATAATGATGATGGGTTAGAAGATATGTCTGAAATGCATGCATTGGGGAAGAGTGTGCTGTCAAATTAGACGATAGTTGTTTATGGTCATACTACAAAGGAAAAATCTATCACCAGAAGCAAAGAGGTGTCATCCTAAAAGGTGAAAATATAACAACTCTGAATTAGTACAAGGTGCTTTCAGAAATAAAAAATTCAAAAGGAGACGAGATAGGATAAAGGAAAACAAATTATAAAAGGCTTTATATGGTGTGATTTGTGATATGGTGCTTCAAAGAGATGCCAACAATTTGAACAATCAAGAAGGGGAAATTGGGCTTACTCAGAAAACCCACTTCATGTTTAAGAGAAGACACATACAACAAAAAAGAAAGTCCAGATAGTCACTGATGGGTCGGGTCAACTTGTCATGCCCAAGCCGATCAATGCAGTTAGAAGTCAATTTCAAGTTGGGGTCTGCGTAAGAAGCATGAAGTTTTCAGAGCATCTTATTTGTTCAGCTTTGGTCCCTATAAAAACTCCCAAACAAAAGAATCAATTTAAGGGGTCCAGAATGTTCATCTAACCATTCAGGTTCTTCGAAGGAAAATTTCTCAAGGGGATCAACGTTGTGATGTGAATCAACAACTAATTCAGATGTTATGCAAGGAAACTGAAGGTTTTGAGATGGTATAGAAGAGGGATTAGCACAAAAAACATGGAATAAGGTGAAGGAATTTGGAATTAAAGGAGTGGATGAAGATAGAGTTTAGATCGCAGAAATAAAAAAAAGATTAAGGGAAAGAGAAATCAATGGAGTTCCATGAATAGTTTGTCCTATAATATTAGAGGATGTGGGAATCCAATTAAGAGGAAATTCTTGACGTAATTGACTAAAGATGGGAGATTTAATGAATGTATTCTTCAGGAAACAAAAAATAAATAACGAGGATGAGGTTAGGATTTCAACTTTGTGTGGTGATAATTTGGTGGAGTGGACGTAAAAATAGTCGATATGGAAGTCATGAGGAATGTTGATCAACTGTAACACCCTAATAAAACACATATTTAGAATATTATTTTATAATGATTGAATTGGTATTGACGCATACATAAGTTCCTAAACGACATCGTACAATCATGTCCAAATACACAAAATGGTACTAAATATTATTTATGATATGAATGAATACCTAATCAAAATACTAAGAGCAACACAATGAATTACAAATGAAACATCAACATATTTAAAAATATCAGATGATTTTTCCCTTACCTTTTTCATGCTTCGAGCTACCTGAAATACAACAACATAAATATGGGGAGATACTAATCTTAATGGGTTCCCCTATCTTATTGGTCCACACGGCTCTGCATGGTTACTTAATCCTCCAGTTCTATTAACACTACACTCAAGAGCTATATTATAAAACTAAGGATGAAAGCATAACCACTTCATATACAGGTGAAATACAACTTCTTACTTAACCTTTCCAAGTATAACAAAACAAGCTACAAAATTTGGCCAAGTTGAATCTTATAGATGAATAACTAAATTTATGCCTTCAAGGAGGTTATTTAAGGAGGTTTCTAACACCCTTTTTTAGGGTCGTATACCCCAAGATATTATCCAGCATTACACCCCCCTTGGTTCTAGATCATGTCCACTACAGTGTTATCCAAAGGTTTCCTTCCATCCTATTGTTGGGTCTTACTCTCATGCATTTTGATCTATCAAATCTAGAAGTTATAAGTTTAGAAACTTCCTTATTTCCATAACATTGGATTCTCCATCAATCTTATGTTTCACTAACTTGCCAAGTAATATCTCTTAGGCAAGCACATGCACATATACATACATTTCAATCATTAGGGTTTTAGTTACACCTAACTGATCATTCTATTGGTCGTAATGCCATGAATTTTAGAGTATGTATGGTCAAGGGTTTCCGGGTCTTGTAAACTCACTTGATCCCCTTATACTTCAACCA